TAAAAGCAGGAGTTATGGTGAAATGAACCATCTTTGCAGTATTTTGATACGGAGATCTCAGATTGAGATCATTCCCTGAAAAACACAGGAACATGTGAGACGTTCATCCATTTGCTGAAAAAAGACGCAGACCTTAATGCTGAACTAAGCCAGCTGTAGTTTCATATTCTATGTAGCTTTATAACACTGAATAAGTATCATGTCACTCGCCTCCTCGTAAACCTACTAATTAACACATTATTTGTAGTTTTTTTAATCTTTTGGACACACTTTTAGTCTTTCTACTAAGCTAAGGCAACTATCAGACAAATATATAAGTGTTATCAATTCCTCTTTTGATTTCCAATAAAAACGTGATCGAACATATTTCCCAAAATCTTCTTTTAACTCTGCGAAGACCCCATGTCCTGATGAAAACTGGAAGGTACCAAAACTCTGCTCAAATCAATGTGACATTTTCCCAAAGCGGGAGGAAAAATACAGCTTCCACAGCAACCGCAAGCAACATATCTGATTCCACTTACCACACATCTGCAATTCAGAAGAAACAAGCAAAAAAAAAATGCAAGCATGGCCCAACAGGAAAGTCTTTATATTGAGCTCTTATCTATGAATCGTCCTTATTTCTAGTGCGAAACACATTCACACACACTCGCACAGTATCTTTTTTTTTTTTTTTTAAACAAATTCTCCAATGAATGATTGTGGCAATAGTGCAAGCATCAGGCATGAGTCAGCGTTCTGGCCATTAGTTGAGCTACTGCAGTGGATGTATGGTGTGTCAGTGGTAGTACTAATGCTGGACTAAGTGAGGAGTTTAGTGAGTGCATGGTGGGAAGGAGGCAGCGGGAAGAGGAGGTGAAACTGTGTCGTGAGCCATTCTCTATGGAAAAGCCATTCTCTGCTATGTGGGAGGGTAAAGCTAGTGTGGTTCTATATCAGGGTTAGGGGGCAACTACTTTCAATGACATCCATTTCAGAGAGAGGTCAACTGAAACCCCAAATACTCCACCCACACAGGTACGACTGTGCTAATGGTGATCTCAAGTCACCTCCTCTATGAATGCATTTTAAAGACATTGACCCCTAGTCCAGAGTCTACGGTGCGAGGTGATTCTCCAGGCCAAACTCGGCAGCAATGTGATGAAAACTACAAGGGAGATGCTCCTACTGTGGAAGTGAACTGTCTTTATGAGACTCCAGTGCCAATGATAACAGCCAGCAAGTCAGCCCCGTCCCTCAAACCCCGCCGCCCCCTACTGAACAGGCCGAAGAGGAGGAGGAGAAGAAGAAGAAGAGGAAGAGATGGAGTCAGGAGATGCAAAGCGTGGAAAGGAAAGTTGAAGAGGAGGAGGAGGAAGAAGAAAAAAAATGGAAAGGTGATGGTGGGGGATATGATGGATGAATAAAGGTGGAAATGAGGGACGCAAGGAGGGTGAAAATAAGATAAAAATGTCATTAGAAATGGAGTAAACAGGCATGCAGGAAAAATAATTAAAAAGATAAAGGAAGATTAGAAAGCATGCAGGTGGAGGGAGTTTAATGGAGCATTGCAATGGAGACAGAATGTAAAGCTGCACCAAGACCACACACAGCGCTGAAGTTTCTGATCCGTTGCTTTAATAAAACTGTAGATTAAATCCAATAAAGAGTGTCTAGATAACACGACTTAGCGGCAGATCCAATTGAAATATGGTTAAAATACCCAATGAGTCTGGTGCAACAGGACCGGATGAGGTTAAATGAAGGAAAAGATAGATAGAAAAAGGTAAAAGAGAAGGAAGAAAGTAGATAGAGATTGTGGGGGGGAAGCGGGGATGTGGGAGAGGAGTGCAAGAAAAGAAAAAAAAAAGTCCAGCTCAATGCAGAGAGTGAATGCAAGAGGAAAAGAGGGAATTTGTGGGTAAAGACCTGCTTCTTGGGAAAGGGACTGTCTCCTTCCAAGCTATCAACAAAGGCACTCTGTGGGGACACAAGGAAGAGGGGCAATGAGAAACCAGCTCTACCAGAAAGCTCTACCAAATTAAAAATAATAATAAATAAAAGAAGAAGCTGGGATTCCCAAAGCTGCCCGAGCACCAAGATCATCTGTGGTCACTGACTTACAACAGGGAACTGATGATGTTGGCACTTTAGGAAACGCCGACCCAGCAGAGAGTTAGAGGGTGAGTTACAGGAGGAACTCTACAGGGTCACTTTACTAACAACACATGAATCTGCTCAAGGCTTAAAAAGGCAAATAAATCACAGAATTAGTTTGAGAATGGCATGTTAGCAGTATAGTTACACTGTAAGGTTCTGTGTGGCTGAGTTAGAGATGTACGTCTTAGGCTGCATGTGGTTTCTGGTCATTAGACTGATGCGTTTACAGTCACCTCGAACAAAAGAACTATTGAAATAAACTAAGCTTTAACCCTTAGATTGAAAGGCATGTTTTTTAATAAAAATTCACCAATATTTCACCATTAACCGTAGCAAGAAACTGTAAAAACAGGAAGAACTGAATGATTTGTGTACAAAAACAACTAAATCCAAGCCTAAAATGAGAATATTTAATCAAAATCACTTTATTCTGGATGTCTCTGTTTGAAAAAAATGCCACAAAATAAATTGTTTGCACTAACTAGATTTTGTAAAAAAACTAAAAATTCTGCACTTTTCAGACAAACTGTGGAGCCATGACTGACTGTGCGTTCACCAACAGTCATTAGACAAAAAATCTGAGATTTTTCAGGTAAAATGGGCTGAACTGCAGGCAGTGTTTACACAGAACTGATAGGAAACAAATATTCTAATTCTAAGTAGTTAAATATCTAAAGCATGTAGAGCCACGACTTTTTCCCGGTTTTGGTAACACTTGTGGGCACCTGGGAAAATGCTGAACATGTTGATTCCAAGTTTCTTTAAATTTACGTAAAACAAAAGATAAACAGAATTTAAATGTAGTTTTGTCTTTTTTAAGATTTATGGCATCATAACTTTGTGATACTGCACAGAGGTCTCTTGTACTTCTAGTCATGGTTGTGTTGTTTCCATAGAGGTGCAGGACTTAATATTGCAGTGAAATATGAGCCCACAGTGAGTAAAAATGTGTCAGGAAACTGCTTGGAGTTCAGAGGGCTACTTTCACCATGTGAGTCTGAAGTCTGTGTGTGAATAATGTGCAGACTTAAAATATGAATAAGCATCCGTTGATTAACTCTACATGTGTGTGGGTTGTGTGTGTTGCTACCCTGCGGCTGCGGCGGCCTCTCTTCTGCTGCTGCTGCTGCTCGATGAGCTCCATGGCGGAGGCCGGGGGCGAGGCGGCTCTCATGGCCCTGACCACCTTGATGCTGTCCTCCGGCAGCGGCGGCAGGTTGAGACGCTCCCGGCCTCGCACCTTCATCTCCTGGAGCTCCTCGAATCCCCCCAGAGTGAACTGGAAGACGAGCACAGGGGACGAGAGCACAAGTGATTCACAGGCAAGAGTGAACGTTCAAAATGTATTAAAGAGTGTAACGCAGTGAGCAGTAGATGAATAGTTACCAATAACAAGCAAGATTTAAGTCATGTTAATGGAACATTGAAATAAATGGACACTAAGTGAATGCACCTAGCAGTCATGGCTTTACCCTCTGAGCAAGAAAAGGCATGTTATTAAAGAAACTGGGGGGAATTAAAGCATTTGATATGGTAAGGAACTGTAAAAGCAGAAAGAATCATTGGGTTTTCAACTTTCTAACAGTCTGATCACGTGCGATTATTGGTTTTGTCGAGAGAAACAGCCACATGTAGCTACAAATCAGGCTATTTCATCATAATCACTTAATTCTACATGGTCATATTTTTAAAAATTGCTAAAAAATAAACCGCTTGCAGTCACAATATTTTGTAAAAAAAACAAAAAATCTGCACTTCGCTGTGAAACTAAGAAGCCAGTAATGACTCAGCAGCAACCAACAGTCTAATGATAAAAATTTGGGCACTTCTCAGCTGACCTGGGCTGAACTGCAGGATGTGCAGTATAGTTTTTTTTTTTTTTTTTCCAGTATTAGAAGTAGTGTACATGTCCAAGTTCACATTTTTTCAATTTTTGTAAAATAAATAATCAAAGAAATGTAACTTTAGTTAATGATTTAAGCATTACAACTTTGCTACACTGCACAGAAGACATTTTTAAGTTCCTTCTCCTTCTTGTCGTGGTTGCACTGTTTCCATAGTTGTGCAAGACGTTATACTGCAATGAATCATCTCACAGTGAGCAAAAATGTGGAGTCGGAGGGTTAAAACATGCAAAACAAAGATTACCAAAATGCACAGAAATACATGTAAATGCATTAAAAGTCACTGTTTGAATGGTTGAATAAACGAACCAGTATTGTTTTCCAGAGCAGCAGCAGCACTTTCTTCATGGGGAAGTGTGGAGCGTTCATGCTGCAGAACTTGGTCACCATGGTGAAGAGGAGCAGAGCGAAGGGCTCTCCGTTGTAGAGGGGTGAACCTGAGGAGTCACAGCCGACGTTTTGAGATCGGAAGCGCTAATATAAGAAATTAACTGAAGACAGCGCATCCCTTGTAGTGTTATAGACACACACCTAGCTCATTCTTAAAGGCCTCTCTGGCTGATCTCCACTCAGGTCGGTCGTCTTCTGTTTGAACTCTAATAGTCTCCACCATCAGGTACATGATGCTCAGCAGCACTCTGCCGGGAAGACAAACACATTCACTTGCATCCCTGTGCAGGTGTAATCGGCCCGAAACGCCCACAAGCACAAGAATATCATGAAGAAAATTATGAGGAGAGGTGAGTATACACAGCATTTAAATACGCGAAAAAAATTGATTTACGTGCTCTAACAGGATTCATTCACAACTATCTGATGTAAGTCAGCTGGTGTTTGGTGCACTGTTTCGCTCAACAAAGCCTCTCGCTCGGCGCAAAACAACTAATGGTTTTTCAATTCTGCAGCACTAATTAGTTGCAAATCCACTCCTCCAGCTTGTAATTATGTGTAAGTGTTCATGTGGGGAACGTGAATTTGTGTGTGCATCAACGGGCATTAAGCCTATTTTGCTCAAAAATCAATTCCATTAAGCACAAGTACAGACTGAAAACAACTGCGAGGAAAAGGGGACAATGAGTATAATTACATCCTGCAGATCAGGTGTATGTGTGTGCATGCAGCCAGATGACAGAAAGCAGTTAAGATTTCTCATATGATTTACTCGCCTGCTTCCCACTTGAAGCAGAGAAGAAGGTGGAGAAGTTTATGAGTGATGTGGTTTTATTACTTACCTGAGCTCTGTGCTGTCTGCGAGAGAGATGGCTGGTTTCCTCACTGCACTGCTGCACGCCTGGCTGTTACTGCAGACACAGCGGGTACACCAGTTTAGTGGTTTATTTGAAAAAGACAAGCCTGCAACATTTATACACGACACGCAACACGGGTGGGAATGTTAGAATCTGATCAATAGTGATAATAGTAATCGCATTTTGAATTTCCCTTCTGGGATAAATAAAGTATTTTTCATTTCATTTCATTTTTAGTACAATTTCTGCTTGAATATCTCTGATTTGCCTTAATTTTTTTTAATTGCAGAAAATGTGCATATTTGTTAGGATATTTGTGCAATATGGAATACTTTCAGAGACAAAATGTTTTTAAAAATTGCCCGTTTCTGCACGTTTATTCACGCTGTGTTTAAACAACAATAGCTCAGCATCTACATAAGATTAAAGCCTTTACTGTTATTTCTTATGTCATTCATTCAGAATCTGCAATATTGGACAAGAAGGTTGAACTGTCTCTGATTTCAGGTGAGCTGAAATGTGGGAAAAAAAAATGAAGCTGGCATAAAAAGTCCCATCTTTGAGCACAAATTAACAAAAAAAAAAACAATAATTCAGTGGTGATCTAGTGATATTGACTGAACTATGTTTAGTTATTTGTCCCAAAAATACAAAACAAAACATATATGATGCTTTTGATATAATATACTTGATCACACAAATTAAAAGAAATGTTATTTGGAACAGAAATAAACATTGCAAGATAGCCTAATCTAAGTGGAAGAGAGTTAAAATATAATTACCATTTATGTCTTTTGACATGGACGTATGTTTCATTTCCTGATCCTACTTTGGAGGCATCAGCCTTGATTTGGAGGAGAGTTGTTGTGTGGTTTTGTGTCCTTGATATATCAATCTGAAACTTCCCAGATACCAGTTTAAATATTTATAGCTTATAGTTAAAAAATAAAAGTGTGAATCATAGTGGAGCAGAAGTCCCCTGATGATTTGAGATGGAATAATCCCATAATGATAAACAGAGTTCTCACATATAAACAAATATTTGTTTTTAATTCCTTTTTCTTGCTTTTTTTTTTTTTTTGCAATCGTCTGCCAAGCCTTGTGTGTGTTTTTGACTGGTGATGGGCCAGACTGTGCTGCGATGCCTCAGAGCAGCTTATGTAACAACAAAGAAGCTCTGGATCCAGACTGAGGCTGACACCGGCAGCAATAAAACCGACTTGAAGGGGCGACTACCGCGCTGCATCCTCAGCGGACGGTTTGAAGAGCGGATCACAGATGGTGTGTTATCTGTAGTCCCCAAGTTTCAGATTCTCTCTCTGTCAGTATTCGCCTGCGTCTTTCCATCCCTATTACTTTGCATTTTATTCCATCTGGCAGCGCGTCCCGTTCGTTTCTACTCACTCTATCTCCATGCTGAGCAGCTCCAGCAGCGCCGTGAAGATGCCCATGTCGTAGAGCAGAAAGACGTTGTGTCTGGACCAGTGGAGCACGTCCACCTCCGTGTCGCACTCATCAAACACTCCTGGGGGAAGATTTAGGGGGAAACAGGACGACAAGGACAATGTTTTCAGGTTGCTTTATGGGATATTTTTCATCGTGCTGCTGTGAAAAAGGCCCGTTTGTGGCTGTAACGTGTCGGCCCACGCACCCTGAGCCAGGTAGAGGATGGCTCTGGCCACCTTCAGCCTCTTGTCCCGGTCGGTCACCTCCAGAGCGTCCAGCAGCCTCATCACATACGCCTTCTGCTCCTCCACCGTCAGCTCGATCCACCTCCGGCCTCGAGCTGCAACCAAGGACACGACAACACAGCATTCACTTTATGAAGTATTTTGTCTGTGTCTTACATAATAAAGTTGAGGTGACTAATGCATCCAAAAACCTGGAACTGAACAGCAACAACACCACTGCAACAACTAGTCACAGCTACGGTGGTACAGCTGAATGCTAAAGTACTG